TTTCTGCATGCTTCTCTGAATTTGGAAATTTTTCAGCTAATGTATTATGAAAGATATTTCTATGCCTTTACCTGTCTGTTACCTGGAATACCTGTTATGTGGATATTCAGCTGTTTAGCAGTGTCTAGGATTTCTCATATATTGTCTTCATTTTTAATGGTTATTCTTCTATTCTCTTCAGTTTCTTGGATTAAATTGGAGGTTTTGTCTTTAAGCTCAGGGATTCTTTCTTCTGCATGGTCTAATCTGCTGTTGATACTTTCAAGGGAGGTTTTGATTTCCAATGTATGCTTCATCTCCAGAAGTTCTGTTTGATTCTTTTTCAGTGTGTCTGTCTCTTTATGGAGTTCTTCCTTCATGTCATGGAAGGATTTTCTTTTTTGTTTGTTTGTTTTTTTTTGTAGAGGTTTTTGCTATAGGGCACGTGCGCTCACCAGACAGAGAGAGACATAGAGACAGAAAGCGAGAAATCACCCCCCAGGGGAGATGGTCACGCCGCAATCCCTTCTCCTCCATTCTCCTCTTGGGATCTTGGGCATGCACGCACACGCACCCAGCATGAGTTTTAAGCCACCGGGTCCAGGACGCAAACCGCGGTCGACTACGTGGGAGTCCAGCGACAGAGCCATTACGCTAACTGCTGGTTCCCAGGATTTTCTGATCTCCTACAACTGTTTTCTCTTGAATATTGTTGAGTGTCGTTACAACTGATATTCTGAATTCTTTTTCTGACATTTCTGCTATCTCTTATATAATATTTAATCCATTGCTGTTGAGGAGTAACAGTCTTTCAAGGGAAAGTTATTTCCTCTTTTTTCCCTATTTCTTTGGACTCTGTTATGCTTATTAGACATCTGGTGGTATTCTCACTTCTTTGGAGTCTTTCTGTAGGTGTGTGCTTCTTCACTTGTCTATGATATGTGTAAGCTCTGTCCAAATTTCCCTCTTCTACTGTAGGAGAGAGTGTGGAATCTACAATAGGAGCTTAGGGTTCAGATAGCCAACGGGGAGTTTCTCTTCTTTTGCTGCCAAGGGATTTATGGAGAAAGAATTCCTCCAGAGTCTCCTATTTCCAGGTTTGGTTCTTGTATACCCAAACCTAATTGCTCCCAATGTGGATGGAGGTTACACTGATAGAACATAAGGTGGTAGGCTACTTTGCAGTGTGTGTTTGCACACCACATAGGCTGGAGGTCCTCTCCTGCCCAACAACAGGCTGGCCAGGGGTCCCTGCTGCTGAGCTCAAAAAGAGCATCTTGGCTTGGTCCTGCCTGTTGGTACTGTAAGTATGAGAGGCAGAGTGGCATCAACACACATGGGGCAGCAGTTCCTATCTTTGTTCTCTGGGATTGCAGAAACCACCTATTGGTTCTTGAAGTATGGAAAGCCTCTCCTCCACAGTAGGCTGGGTGGAGGTCCCTGTTCTGATGATAAAGTTTTTATGATTTTTGTTAAAAGAATAATTTTATCCAACTTTATTTATTATTACTACTTTCCAGATGATCAGAGAAAGAAAAGGAGAGAGAGAGAAAGCGAGCCACCAGGTTCAGGACTCGAACCGTGGTCTGCCATATGGGAGTCGAGTGCCTTAAACCACCATGCCACCTACCAGCCCTAGTTTTTATGATTCTTAATCCTTGAAAACTTCCATTTTAAATTTCTTTAATTAAAAGTATAGTCACAGTTTTCTTTGTATTATACTTTTTATTTTTTTGGGAGAGGTTTTTGCTATAGGGCGCATACGCTCGCCTGACAGAAAGAGACAGAGAGATAGAAAGCGAGAAATCACCCCCCGGGGGGATGGCCACACTGCAATCCCTTCTCCACTCTCCTCTCGGGATCTTGGGCACACATGTACACGCGCCCGGCGTGAGTTTAAGCCACCGGGTCCGGGACTCGAACCATGGTTGACTACGTGGGAGTCCAGCTACATAGCCATTATGCTAACTGCTGGTCCCTGTATTATACTTTTAATTTGTGGTTACTAGTCACATATCATAAGTTCTTGAAATGTAGCTAGTCTAAATTGAGATGTGTTAAAATGTAAAATACATTCTGGAAATTCTGGAATTCTGGAAAACTTTACATGAAAAAGAGAGTAGCTGTTATAGTTTTTTTTTTTTTTTAAGAGATTTTTGTATAACAAAATCTTGTACTTGCCACGGAGACAGAAAGTGAGAAATCACACACACACACACACCTGCCCCCATGGGGATGGCCATGCTGCACATGCCACAGTCCCTTCTCCTCCATTCTCCTCTTGGAATTTTGGGCACACACGCACATGTACCCAGCATTAGTTTTTGTTTTTGTTTTTGTTTTCTGAGAGATTTTTGCTACAGGACGCGTGCGTTCGCCAGAAAGAGAGAGACAGAGAGACAGAAAGCGAGAAATCTCCCCCCAGGGTGGATGGCCACACCACAATCCCTTTTCCTCCATTCTCCTCTCAGGATCTTGGGCATGCATGCACATGAGCCCAGCATGACTTTAAGCCTCCAGGTCTGGGACTCAAACCGCGGTTGGCTACATGGGAGTCCAGCGACATAGCCATTACGCTAACTACTTTTCCCCCCAGCGTGAGTTTTAAGCCGCCAGGTCCAGGACTCAAACTGCAGTTGACTATGGGGGGAGTCCAGCAATATAGCCATTATGCTATCTGCTGGTCCCATATTATAGTTTTCTATATTGATTGTGTGTCGAAATTATATTTTGGTGCTATTGAATTAAATAGAGTATTATTAAAATTTATTTTACCCTTCTCTTTGTAATGGGACCACTAAAATTTTTTAAATTACATACATGACTTGGATTTATGGTTCACTATTTATTTATTTAGTATAGTGTCTTGCTGTGTGAAGATTAAACTTCCTGCTTTAACCTTTCTTGTAGTTGGTAGTACAGGCATGTGCCACTGTACTTAGCATTTAGGGTGGACCAGAAATCGAGCCCTTGCCTCTCCCATGTGGCCTCAGCCTGCCAAGTAGTGTTAACCAGTGTACACTACTGTAGTGGTCCTCTGTTCATCTGTTAGATAGTGTTAGGACAAGTTGAATATTCCTAATTCTAAAATCTGAAGTGTTCCAAAATCTGTGACCTTCTGAGCACTGATGGTACCGCAAGTAGAAAATTCCATACCTGACCTCCTGTGACAAATCACAGTCAAACATTACAGTACTTCAGGCTATGTGGGTAATGTGTATATAAAACATCAATGAATTTTATGTTAGACTGGGCCTGTCTTGAAGATACCTCATTATGTGTATGCAAATATTTCAAAATCTGAAAAAACTCAGAATACTTCTGATCCTAAGCATAAATAAGGGATACTTAGCCTATATGTATAATTAGTAATTTCAAACAAATTCTGCACTGCAAGAATTGGGCAAACTTGGGACCAGCAGATGGCATAATGGCTATGTCACTGGACTCCCATGTAGTTGACTGTGGTTTGAGTCCCGAACCCAGTGACGTAAACTCACACCAGGCGCATGTGTATGCATGCCCAAGATCCTGAGAGGAGAATGAAAGAGAAGAGATTGCGGTGTTGCCAGCCCCCCAGAGGGGTGATTTCTCGTTTTCTGTCTCTCTGTTTGTCTCTTTCTGGCGAACGCATGCGCCCTATAGCAAAAACTTCTCCAAAAAAAGGGGGGGCAACCTGATAGTTCTGTATGCTGTTAGTTTATTTTTCTTCTTCTAAAGCCTAAAACTCACTTGATTAGACCATCGCCGTAATAAAAATGTTTATTTAAATACTTGGAGCAATGACACTCTGATGTTGAATGACAAAGTGGATACATAAGCCATCTGTGGGCCCCTCCAATACCCCCTGCTTCAGTAGCTGTTTCTTGGCAGAGGACATGAGTTAACTTTTATTAGGGCGATAGATGAAGCAGAAAAGTAATGGAAAATAATTAGTTTTATGTCATACTAGTAATGCAGGTTGTAACAAAGATTAAAGTTACTGTTTAGGGACCAGCAGGTGGTGTAGTGGTTAAGGCACTGGACCTCCTATATGGCTAAGAATGGTTTGAGTCCTGGACTTGGTGTCTTGACACACCAGACAATCCCAGGAGAATGGAGGAGAAAGGATTGTGACGTGGCCATTCCCGGGGTGGGAGAGGGGGTGATATCTAACTTTCCCTCTCACTGTCTTCTGTCTCTTTCCAGCAAGCTCATGCACCCTATGGCAAAAACTTTAAATAAAAAAAAATTAAGCTTCATAGGAGCAAAACCTGTTTATAAACTCGATAGTAAGTCTAAAAGTAAATGTGAATTACTTATTAAACTAGTCTTATATTCCTCTGAAAGAGTTTAAAGATTAGTCAGACTCCTTAGTGAGCCATAAATAGGTTAATTTTTTTGGAGAGATTTTTGTGCTTGCAGAGACAGAAAGCGAGAAATCATTCCCTAGGGGGAATGGCCACACCACAGTCCCCAACAGGCTAATTTTTAAAATATGAAGTACGAGTATCATGGTCATTTGCTAAATATGGTAAAGAATATTTAGATAGTTACTAAGTATTGAAAAATACTTAGTCTTCGGTTCTTTACAGCAGAGACAGAAAGCGAGAAATCATTCCCTAGGGGGAATGGCCACACCACAGTCCCCAACAGGCTAATTTTTAAAATATGAAGTACGAGTATCATGGTCATTTGCTAAATATGGTAAAGAATATTTAGATAGTTACTAAGTATTGAAAAATACTTAGTCTTCGGTTCTTTACATCAAGTTCCTTTTTCCTCTACTAGGCATTCCTTAGCAATAGATATTTTTTCTTTTGGTTGACTGTCTGGCTAGACAGTGGTGGGGAGGGAGTACCAAAGCAACCCCTTAGTTTTATCACTTTGTGGTTTACATTCCAACTTTGTTTACTGACTGAACACAGCCAAGGAGAAAGTCAACTAATAATATTCTTTAAGTAGCTTATTTGAGGGATTAGGAAGCCTAGAGTTCTACTCTCTTAGACATGAAACTCTTAATATATTTTAATATTCTACAGATCCTTCAGCTGAGGAATTGAGAAAGCTCATGATGTTGCATGGAGGTCAATACCATGTGTATTATTCTAGATCTAAAACAACACACATTATTGCTACAAATCTTCCTAATGCCAAAATTAAAGAATTAAAGGGAGAAAAAGTAATTCGACCAGAATGGATTGTAGAAAGGTAAGTATAATTTTTTATTGAATTTAATTGAAATAATATGATTTTTTTAAAGCGGAGTTTCTTTTTCTCTTGCTAATAATTATCTAACTTGTTTTACTTCATATTTGATGAGAACATAAAACAATTCATTCTTAAACAGCCTCATATTGGTAATCCAGGTAGCCTAGGATTGGGCATCCTGTTAGAAGTAGAGTATTCATGTTCTTGCAACCTCAGTTACCAGGAATTGGGGATGATGCCTTAAGAATGCAATAAAAAGCATGTATTGGAGGGGGCTGACCTCGTGTGGTATTTAATCAACAGATATCTGTGTACCTTTTTTGGGCTAGACAATTCCTGTGTACTTGGAAATTATCAATGAACAAAACAAAAATTCTCTCCACTGCCTCTTGGAGATTATATTCTATTGGGAGAGACAAACCATAAACAATAAGTTTAAATATTAAGAGTAAACTTTGTCATATATTTTTAATTTTTTAAGAATTATTTTTTATTATTATTTTTTAAAATTATGGCCAGAGAGAGACACAGAGAGAGAGAGAAAGTTGGAAAGCAAGCCACCAGGTCCAGAACTCAAACTGTTGACTGCCATGTATAGTCCAGCACCTTAACCACTATGCCACTTGCCAGGCCCATTTTCATATATATATATTTATTTATATATACATTTTGTTTGTTTGTTTTGTTTTTGTTATCAGGCTTGTGCCCTCTTTGGAGAAGGAAAGTGAGAAATCACCCCCACTCCTCAGGGGATGACCAGGCCAAAAATCCCTTTTCAATTCTCCTGAGATTTTGGGCGCACACACACACACACACACACACACACACACACACTCACACACTCACCTGGCTTGATTTTCAAGCTGTCAGATCCTGTACTGCAACCATCTGGGCCATGTAAGAGTCCAGTTCCTTAACCACTGCACCACCTGCTGGCCCCAGAGTGAATGATTCTTTATATTGGTACTTTTGGTTTTGAAATTTGGATTTCGCTATTTGGCTCTTTTGCTCTTTTTTTTTGTTTGAAGAATGGTAGAAATTGTAGGTATAGTTTTTCCATGCTTAATATAAACAGGAAAATTAGTAAATGATAGAAATTATTCCCTGATTTTAAAAGAAAGTCTTTAAAAAAATACATACTTTTAGGTAATGTTTCTGTCCATATATTTGTAGATAGAAGAATGAATAAGCAGGGATAATTATGAGTACAACTGATAACTTCAAATTAAAGGATTTCTTATCTAGCATTACTATAGTACATTGGATTTTAAATCCTTTTACCAAGTATTTCTAAGGATATCTCATTTGAAACCTGCAAAATTTAAATTGGCTTTTTAATATTATAACAATCTCCACGATGATTATAAGCCCAAGAATTCTGCTGGACCACATGACTCTCAATTAGAAGTTGGACAAGTTCTTAAAACCTGGAGAGAACACTTCTAGAGCATGTATCATCCCATCCTGATGTCAGTAGTGTGGGAGAAGCAAACATGAGATTAGGGCATTTTGTCTATTCGATGCATTTTGGTTTATCACAGATGTACACCTGGGACACTGGGCATTGTTTTGCTCTATACTTACCCTTCAGATGATGAAAAGGATAGAAGGGTTAGGATTCGACCTCAGGGGTTTAGTTTCTCTACTTAGGGTGTAGGGTTTTTGCAGGTGAGCTGAGATAGCTGTTACTATAAGAAGATAAGGGACCAGCAGTTAGTGTAATGGCTATGTCGCTGAACTCCCATGTAGTTGACCGCGGTTCGAGTCCTGGACCCGGTGGCTTAAACTCCAGCCGGGCGCGTGTGTGTGCATGCCCAAGATCCTGAGAGGAGAATGGACAAGAAAGGATTGTGGTGTGGCCATCCCCCCTGGGGGGTGATTTTTCGCTTTCTCTCTCTGTTTTCCTGGTGAGTGCATACGCCCTATAGCAAAAAACTTCTCCAAAAAAAAAAAAAAAAAAAAAAAGGATAAGAGACAGGTAATTAAGACCAAAGTTAGAGAAGGAAAAATAAGTTTGATACAAAATAATGTAATGAATGATCTAGTTTTAGGATTTTTCTTCTTTTTTCCCTTATGTATATTTGTCTGTTTTTTAAGAGAGAAAAACACAGCCACCCCCCCAACAGTCTTCACACAGTAATCCACCCAAGCCATATCCAGCCAGGATCACGGGCATGCACACACTCAGCATATATAGGGAAACCTGGGGTCTAGAACCTGAGACCTTCCTATATGGCTTAAGCTTCATGGAGCTTTGCACTATCATTTGCAGCAGCTAGCTGAGTTTCAGAATTTTGATTCTAGTATTTGAATGTAAGTGTAATTCTGGTAAAACTTTAAGGTTAATAATATACCCATTTGAGCAAGTGAAAATTTAAGTGTTTTGTAACTAATACGTTGTTTACCATCATAATTTAGTACTTCCAGCACTTGGATATAGTTTAAAATACTTCATACAGAATTATTAAATACACATTGCTATAATTATACAAAGAACATAGTCTATACCATTAAACAGTTTCATTTTAAAGATTTGTCATCAGGGGGCTGGCAGGTGGCATGGTAGTTGAGGGTGCAGAGTTCCCACATAGCTAGCCACAGTTCAAGTCCTGGACCTGGCAGCTTTCTCTCTCTCTCTCTTACTCTGTCCCTCTCTAGCCAAATTTAAATAAATTAATAAATACAGTTCAATAATATAATTCTTTTTTAAAAAATCTGTCATCAGTATGTTTTCCTATATTCATAATTGCTGACTTAATTTTTTAAAGAATTATTTTATTGAACTTTATTCATTTATTTTAATTTGACCAGAGAGGGACAGAGCGAGAGACAGAGAGAAAGAAAGTGAGAAAGCAAGCCCCCAGGTTCGGGACTTGAACCACAATCAGCCTTGTAGAAGTTCAGTGCCCTCAATCACCACACCACTAGCTGACCCTCCAGTTGACTTAATATTTTTAATTGATATTCTGTAAGCCAATTCAGTCATTGCCTTTTTCGTGTTTGTTTGGTTTTTGTTTTTATTATAAGAGAGTGTAAGTGCTTGCCAGAGTGAGTGAGTGTGTGTGCACACCCCAGTGGGTGTGGTGATGCTGCAATTCTTTCTCCTCTGTTTCTCTATCTCATCAGCATTTTGGATGAGCATGTACCTACCTGCACCTGACATGTCAAGCCGCCAGGGCTGAGATTTGAACTATGTTCAACCATGTGGGATCTGGTTCCCTTTGTCTTGGGCTTAACCCTTGTGCCCTAGATTGGCCCCAACATGGTGGTTATTTTTAAGAAAATTTTGGGAAAGTACTATTTAAGCAAATAAAAATCCTTGGATTTATGAGACAATAAGAAAAATATTATTCTTTTTTTTTTCCCCCTAAGTAATCAGGTATGACTTTGTTAGTGATTTTAGGTTTAAAAACTAACGATTTTTTAAAAAACATTTTTTAATATGTAAGGAACCTGTTTTAAAATTTGGATGTTAGCATAAATGTATTGCTTAATTTGAAGTAGAATACTATTCTTAGTTTATTTCTCTTTTCAATCCATTTTTTGGACTTTCTCAACTCCAGCTTTTCTTTCTTCCTTTCCCTCTTTTTTTTTTTTTTTTTTTTTTTTTTAAAGAGGTTTTTGTCTTAGTAGGCATGCACTCATCTGGGAGAAAGAGAGTGAAAGGGAAGGTGAGAAATCACCCCCAAGGGGTGATTGGCCGTGCTGCAATCCTTTCTCCTTTGTTGTCCTTTCAGGATCTTGGGCACACACATACTCCCAGATTGATTTTCTTCTTTTGTTTTTAGTGAGAAATTTTTGCTATCAGGTGCATGTGCTCACTGGAGAGACAGAAAGTGAGAAATCACCCCACCCCATCCCCAGGGGATGGCCATGCTGCAGTCCCTTCTCCTTCATTCTCCTCTCGGGATTTTGGTCATACATGCACATGTACCTGGCTTGAGTTTGAAGCTGCTGGGTCAAGGACTCGAACCGTAATCGACTATATGGGAGTCCAACAATGTGACCATTATGCCCTCTGCTGGTCTCATGGCTCGCTTACTTTCCAGGACACTGGATCCAGTACTCAAATTGCATGGTTGACCATATGGGATCCAGCTGCCTTATCCACCACCATGCCTCCTGGCTGGCCCCAAAATTTATTAATTAACTTATTTTTGAAATTTTAAAATTCTTTTAGAGAGATTTTTGTTATAATATATGTGCCTTTGCCAGACAGACAGAAAGTGAGAAATTACACTGCAGAGGGGATGGCGGTGCCACATTTCCTTCTCCATTCTCCCCTCTGGATTTTGGGTACAGACGCACATGTGCCTAATGTTGTGCCTTGGGGTCCAGGATTTGAACCGCAGTCGACTACATGGGAGTCTAGCGACATAACCATTACACCATCTGCTGGTCCCTAATTATTTTTGACAGTAGGGCAAAATTCTTCCGACAGTCTCATAGTGCCTTATTCCTCTCATCCCAGCCTTCGAGTAAGCTAGGTTCATGGACATGCACTGCTGGGCCTGGTATATCTAGTATGGTCTGAGAGTGAACCTGGTCCTTTTGTGTGGCAGAAAATGAGGTTTTTTTGTTTGTTTTAATTTTCCAGAAGGTACATGTGCTCACCAGGGAGAAAGGGAGGGAGAAAGTGGAAAAACATTCCCCATGAGGAATAGGCATACATGCACACACGTTAGTGTCTCTCTCAAGTTGCCAAGTTCAAACTGGACTTGGCCATGTGCCATCAAGCCACTGTAACCACCAGGCCATGGCTAACTGGAAAATTGCCATTAAGCCACCTTAATCACCAAGCCATGGCTAACTGGAAAATGTATTTTTAAAGATATAGTAACATATGTAACTCCAATTTGCATTCAGAATTTATTAAAACAGCTTAATCATATTAATTTTAGTTCCGAAGTACAAAAGGAAATAGGTATTTGGGAGTTTCAGTTAAAGTGCCAGTACTACCTACTAGTATAAGACTGGGGTTCCCTGGATTTTAATGCTGATGTTATGATATGTAATAAGCATTTGGAGGAAATACGTGATAACTTTTGCCCTCTTAGAGTTAATATTCTTAGATAGCCATGTCTTTTCTTTTTTTTTTTTTAAGAGAGATTTTTGCTATAGGGAGTTTATGCTTGCCAGAGACACATGAGACACATGAGAGAGAGAGTGAGAAATCACCTCCCAAGGGGGTGGCCACGCCACAGTCCCTTCTCCTCTTGTGATTTTGGGCACACATGCATATGCGCCAGGTGTGAGTTTTAAGCCACCAGGTCTGGGACTCAAACCATGGTCAACATGGTGGAAGTCCAGTGACACAGCCATTATGCTTTCTGCTGGTCCGCTTTTCTCATTCTTAAATACATAAAAATAGTTTCAAGTTATTTTTTACTCTTGAAATAAGAGTCTGTATTTTGTCCTGTATTTTATTTTACACTTTCTACATTTAAGAAACTTAATTTGAATTGGGAAAACAGACTTTTCATTCACTATTTTTATTCTAGAAAAGCTTAATATGTAAGATGGGATTGGAAGAAGTCTTGATTATCATATCTCAACTGTTTGAGGGGGAACAAACAGTGGTTAATGTTAAAGTTAGGAGAATTAAAATATTGACTAGTGCTTACAGTTTTTCTCCATAGTTCTCCATTCATGTAAAATTGTTGGCCACTAATTCTTTTAAATTTTATATCTGTCTTTTATCTGGAACGTCTTTAGTGTTTAAGTAAAACCGTATTGGTTTAGGACCATTAAAAAGTGAAAAGTGATAAACTAAGAAAACAGGTAGCCCATTTGTGAGATAATTTTAAGAACATGAATTTTGTTTATGAAGTGCATTTTTACAAAGTATTGAATTCTAAATTAGTGTTGCTTTTGTTTGTTTGTTTTAGCATCAAAGCTGGGCGACTCTTATCCTACATTCCATATCAGCTGTACACCAAGCAGTCCAGTGTGCAGAGGGGTCTCAACTTTAATTCTGTGTGCAAACCTGAGGATCCTGTGCCAGGTCCAAGCAATATAGCCAAACAGCTCCACAGCAGGGTGTAAGTTTGTCTTATTTGGGAATACTGTAAAGCTCATTTTAAGTGGTGACTGACTGTTGGCTCTGCTGAAGATAGAAACAAATAGTTTGGCCATTTACCTGTGTTTGAAGATTCATAAACGTAAACGAGTTTTCCTAGTCTTATAGATTCTCATGTTAAATTAATGGACCTTCAGTTACTAGTAAACTTTTTATGGATTTCATGAAAGTAATTTTTGCACATGAAATTTGCTATATATGGAGTGTCGGTTTCTCAAAAACTGAACTGACTGTACCACCTGTACTTTTGTTGTATGCGGTGCATAGGAAGATAATTAAAATATTAACACTTTTAGGTTATTTTTGAAGTATTCAAAAATAAATGTTAAATATGTTAATCCTTTTATATCATGGTAGTTTAGTTGGCCCTCAGTTACAGGATAGGAGTGGATCTAGACTTTATGCAATATGGCCAATTTTAAAAAATATATTGATTTAATTAGCTTTAATTG